TTAAAAGATTGCCGCGTGGGTCACAGCTTCCTTTAAATATATATTTCCCTGAATATACACACCCATTTTTTTAATCATTGGAATATCCAGATCAGTTTACACACACTTTAATTAATCCTTGAGATTCTTTTTTTTTTTTATATCACAAATGATTAACCTTAGAATTCATTGAATATCCTACAAGCCTAATATTCTACGTAAGTCATAAATTAAATTCATCGAAGTGTTCAAGTCAACTTATATGCACTTTGACTAATTCAAGGATCCATTGAATACTCTACAAGTTTAATATTCTAGGTAAGTTACAAATGATTAATCCTCGGAACCAATTGAACACCCTATAAATTTAATGTTCTAGGTAAGTCATAAATTAAATTTGTGATAGATGGTCCTAAGACTTGAACCCAGAAAATCAAGGAATAGAGTACACCTGACATACATAGTTTTATTGTTCATTTTATGATTGAATGAAAAGAGAGTTATTTCTGTGATAACAAGGCAGACAAATTTAATTTATATTTCCAATATTAAAATGTAGTATAGTAACGAAAGTTATAGACCAATCTTCTTGTATTCTTCTACCGCAGCGTACAAGATTGGCGTGTAAAATCGCCGGCAGGCTATGTATCTTCTGCAGAAACTTCGTTGCAGAAATGTCATTCCAATTCCTATTCTAAATGATAATCCCATTGAGTTTTCTTTCGGGCGTGCTATTGTTGACATTACTGTCAAATTTCTTTAATATTTCCGGTTTCAAAAACTCAACTACCACTCCATACAACTTGACATTTTCATTCTTCGGATGAAGGATGTATATGTGTATATATATATATATATATATAAAGAATAAAACCAGAATACGATGTGGAATTTGGAACGGGTCCAAAAGTCAATGGGGGAAACCAAAGCACTCTATTGAAGAAGCTGAAGCGCAATTTCCTGAACAAAACTTAAAAAATATATATGTGAATAAAGAGAGAAACACAGGCATCAATCATCTCTCTTTCTGTGCTTTCCTCAACTTCTTCTTCNTTAAATAGATGAATTGATCTGGTTTCAACAGTACACCAGATATAAGAATGTCATTAATATTTATAGTAGTTACATGATAGAGAGAAGTTCAAAATAACAAACAGAAAGATTACATAGAGATCTACGTAACAGACTTATCAAATAAGCATTTCAAACTATTATTGTTACAGCAGACTTGTCCTTCAATATCTGACTGTTGAGTATCATGCATAGGGATGGATTCTGTTCTGTCACTTATCTATTTAACTGGCCCCCGCAAGCTAATGGTGAGAGGTTGAACCATAAGCTTGCTGCGAAGGAAGGAAAATCTAGATGCTGTCAGTCCCTTAGTGAACATGTCTGAAGGTTGGGAGTGGGTAGGGATATATCGAGTAAGGATGTCTCTATTGAAGATTTTCTTCCTTATAAAATGATAATCTACCTCGATATGTTTTGTACGAGCATGGAACGATGGATTGGAGGATAAGGATAGTGCACCAAGGTTGTCAACCCATAGGCAAGGAGGGGAATGGAGTGGCAGACCAAGTTCTTTGAATAACATACGCACCCAATATAACTCGGTGACAGTAAGGGCCATTGACCGGTATTCCGCCTCTGTGCTTGATCTTGCTATAATTGGTTGTTTCTTTGCCATCCAAGAAATGAGACATGGACCTAGGAAGATGTAATAACCTGTTGTGGACTTGTGGTCATCGGGACTCCCAGCCCAATCTGAATCACAGAATGCATGAAGTGCTAGTGATCCTTTTGTGTAATGGAGGCCATGTTCAATTGTACCTTTGAGGTATCTAAGTACGCGTTTGGCAGCTGTGAGGTGGATTGTAGTAGGACAATGGAGAAATTGACACAATTGATTGACACTATAAGCAATGTCTGGGCGAGTTAAGGTACAATAGTGTAATGCTCCCACAATGTGCCTGTATATGGATGGATCGGGGAGAGGATCACCTTCATGTTTAGACATCTTGCTACCCGATAGACATGGTGTTGAGACTGGTTTGGCACCAACCATTTTGGTGTCTTCAAGCAAGTCAAGAATGTACTTACTTTGATGAAGATGAAGTTGGCATGAGGTACGATGAACCTGGATGCCCAGAAAGTATGATAGTGGTCCTAAATCTTTCACTGCAAAGTCACGGCTCAGTTGATGAAGAATTTCTGTCACTGCAGGAGGGGAGTTGCTTACCACTAAAATATCATCAACATAGATGAGAATAAATATGGTGATAGTAGGGTGATGTAAATAAAATAGAGAAGTGTCCACATGAGAACCGGTAAAGCCAAGATCAAGTAAGCTTTGGGAGAGGCGCCTAAACCAAGCCCTTGGAGCTTGTTTCAAGCCATAAAGGGACTTGTGTAGGCGGCACACATGAGTTGGGAACATAGGGTTTTCAAACCCTGTTGGTTGTTCCATGTAAACTTCTTCCTCAAGGTGACCATGCAATAACGTATTAGATATGTCAAGTTGTTGTATCACCCAATTGTGATGAACTGCCAATGCAAGAATTAACCGAATGGTGGCAGGCTTAATAACGGGACTGAATGTCTCATAGTAATCAACTCCATGCTCTTGATCAAAGCCTTTGGCTACTAGCCGGGCTTTGTACCTTTCAATGGTTCCATCTGCCCTTTGCTTGAGTTTGAAAACCCACTTATTTCGAATGATATGTTTGTTGGGAGGTCTAGGACACAAAGTCCAAGTTTTGTTTGCAAGGCGAGCATTAAATTCAAGGTGCATAGCTATTGTCCAATTAGAATCCTTGGAGTCTTATTTGCAGGTTCGAGGCTCAGAGGGGAGTGTGGAGGACAAGGCCTGTAGGGGATGATTGATGGAGGAGTATAAATGGTAGTCAGAAAACTGTTTGGGTTTGTGGGAGTTGGTTTGAGAACAGGTGACCATTTTACTAAAGGAGGGATGGGCAGTAAGGAAGGCAGTGTTGATGGATGAGTCATGAGTGGTTGGGGCAACATCTGTCTGGGCAGGAGAGGAATTTGGAGCAGAGAAGTCCAGATCTGCAAAAAACTCAGGAGAAGAATGTAATGGAGAAGTAATAGATGGTAAGGAAGGGGGGGGGTTGGGGGGGGGGGGACATACCTGTTGATGCAGGAGTAGCAGAGTCCACTAAAGTGTCGTCCAAGGTGGGAGTAGGAGCAGGAGGAGAGAAGTCAATCACGGGAGGGAAGGGGACAGGTGAGGTAGCGGTAGAGGTAGACTTTTGATGGATGGAGGCAGCAGGGAATGTATGTTCATCAAACACAACATGTCGTGAGATGTATATCCTGCCAGAGGTGATATCAAAACACCTATAGCCTTTTTGGTTGGTAGCATAGCCAAGAAAGATGCACTTTTTGCTACGGTATGATAGCTTATGAGGAGAATAAGGTCTTAAGAGGGGATAGTAGGCACCCCCGAATGTCTTAAGAAGGGAGTAGTCTGGGTGTTTTTGAAATAAACGATAATAGGGGGATTGATTGGCAATGACAGGTGTGGGCATGCGATTAACAAGGTATTCTGCGGTTAAGAAAGCATCAACCCAATGTGTAGGAGGCAAATGAGACTGAGCTAAGAGACTTAGACCCGTCTCTGTGAGATGTCTATGTTTCCTCTCAGAGATGCCATTCTGTTCAAAGGTGTATGGGCATGTTAGTCGATGTAAAATGCCACTTGCTGCCAGAAAAGATTGAAAAGAATGAGAGAGATATTCTCCTCCATTGTCGGTTTGCAATTGTTTGATTTTAAATGAGAAAAGATTCTCAACCAAGCATTTAAATTTAAGGAAGGATAAGGAAACATCAGATTTTTGCTTAAGAGGAAATAACCAAGAAAACCGAGAATAATCATCTATAAAAATAACATAGTATTTACAACCACTAATTGACATGACAGGAGAAGTCCACACATCAGAATGAATAAGTTCTAGGGGGTGGTTGGATTGATGAGTAGAGATGGAGAAGGGAATTTTATGGCTTTTAGCCATTTGACAAAATTCACAAACATGCTTGAGCTTGTGAGTGCCAGAAACCAAAATTAAGGAGCTAGTAGTGAGCTGCTGGAGGACAGATTCGGATGGATGGCCTAATCGTGAATGCCAAGTTGGAAGAGGGATGAATTGAGTGGTCCAATTGAGGTAATTGGTGCCATCCAATTTGACAGATACCAAGGGAGTGATGTTGGGTAAAGAGAATGTTGCAGCGGAGTCTTTGGAAGCCATAGGATCAAAGAAAAAAGGGGGGTTAGCCAAGTAAAGGCTCTGACGCCAAGTGAAATAGATGAATTATCTGGTTTCAATGGAATACCAGATATAAGAATGTCATTAATATTTATAGTAGTTACATGATAGAGAAAAGTTCAAAATAACAAACAGAAAGATTACATAGAGATCTACGTAACAGACTTATCAGATAAGCATTTCAAACTATTATTGTTACAACAGACTTGTCCTTCAATATCTCCTTCAATATCTGACTGTTGAGTATCATGCATGGGGATGGATTCTGTTCTGTCACTTATCTGTTTAACTTCAACTGCCAGTGATTGGCGAGATCGACGAGAATATGGTTTGCAGGGTTTTAGTGAGTGATGATTGGAGAAGATAATTGTGGTGGTAACGGATTGCAATATGTCGGAATCAGGAACCGAATATAAATTTAGATAGTAAAATAATATTTTAAAAGTATGTGGGTGGAAAAGTATCATTTATGATTTAACCATTATTGGGATGGGAAAAACTCGTTGACTCCAAGAGGTCTGTTGATGATGATCTCATATTCAATCAATCATAGTTTGTGTTAATGTTTTTTTTTAATAATAATAAATGACTATTTATAATATATGGAAAGGCATGCTGAAGGAGGTAGTGTGAGGAATAAACAACAAGAATTGGGTTAATTAGGAACAGGTGGTGTCCTCATTGAGAATAAAATAAGAGAAGATGCTATTGACTATTGTATTGAAATGTTAGAAGCTGGTCATTCTCCGAATGTTACAACTTTTGTTGGATTAGTTGACGGGTTGTGTAGGAAGAAAGGTGTTGAAGAAGCTCAGAGTGCTATTGAAACATTGAGACAGAAGGGATTTCTTGTTAATGATAAAGCTGTTAGAGAATACTTGGACAAAAAAGCTCCTTTTTCATCATCAGTTTGGGAAGTAATCTTTGGGAAGAAATCCTCTGAGAAACCATTTTAATTTCTTTCTTTTTCTTTTTTGTAAGTTATTCAATGATGCCCTTTCATTGATTATGTGGCCTTATTGTTTTATAATATGAGAAGATGTGAAAAGAATATTTAATTTCATCAATGGAAGTTCTCATTTTAACTAGTGTTTGCCATAATACTTTTGCTTCATTCTCTTGTTTAAATAAATGTGTCGGTCATGTGTTTCTGGTAAGTGATCACAGTCGGTACAGTCAGGAAATGTTAGTGTAGTAATACAGAAATAGTGCTGTAACTACAGAGCACTCTGTTCTGCATTGTTCTATTTCTGTCATGCAAAGTTAGATAGCTTATATGGACTTGAAATGGAGAAGTAAAAATATTGTTTTCTGTAATAAACTGTATAATAAATTAATTTTGGTGTGAAAAATGAATGAAAAACCAGATTGCAGACTCATCTTCTGCTGTCCTCTCTGTTTTGCACTGTTGAGCTGTCCCTTCTTTTTCAAAAATCAGACTATCATTCAATTTATGCTGCCAAAGTATGTATGTATAATAACAATTAGAATTATATCCTCTCAGTTCTCGCTACTAACGATAAGCATGATCAATTAGGACATCATCATATTACTGTAATTCATAGTTTTGATAAGTTTATTAGATTGAGGTTGAATATTTCACCCTAGAAATGTAACAGCACTAGTATTTATTGTAGCTCTTCCACTTTGGAGCAAGGATTCATGTCATGCTAGTATTCGTGACAAAGTTGTTACTGCAGTTGAGCATATTTTGAAGGCAGAAGAGCTAAAGGAGACCATCATCGTATATGACAATTTGAGAATGTGATGTGCAGACTGAACTGATAAGATTATGTCAAATGTATCTTCTGCCTATACTTTTTCTACTTGCATTTTCATTTTAGTCCACATTCAACAGGATTGATAAATTGAAATATTTATTACCTGATGCTATACTGGTTCCGAGATGCCTTATTTTAAACTATATGGGACTTATGTCTTACTTCATATAAAAGCCCTATTAAGAGAGTTTTATTTTCTTCTAGTGCACGTCTTTTATTCTAATCTCTTCAATTTAAGGCCATGTCAATGCTTTCTTTTCAGCTGTTCTCTCCAAGTAATCTCACAATTGATGATCAGGAAAATAATGCCTTTGACAAATATATATCATTCACGACACAGAAAACATACATTAAATTTACTGCAATGTATAGAAAGGTTGTCTGCTTTTGTTTTTATTCTCTCTCCTGAAGAACACAACAACTAAGTAGAAGATCAACCTGGTATACAAACTAAAGCAGGACATATATCGAGAAAGCACTAGTTAGGGAAGATAGTTCAATCTGAAGATTTGAATTGGTGGATTCAATGCCGTGTCATTGGGCAGGGCCTTACGAGCTATCTCAATTGTTAAACACTGATTCAATTCAATTAATACCAGATTCATGGTTGTAAGTTGAAGAAACACAAGTCATAGCTAATTCTATAGCTTTCCTGTCAGAGTCCATGTCGAAGTCCCCCTGTAATCTTGGATCAACAATATTTCTAATATCCTCCTTTTTAAACATGACACCCATTTACTTATATGAGTCCATTCAGGACTACTTTTTATCAATAACAGGTTTGTATGTGATTATCGCCAAAAGAACCACTCCAAAGCTATACACATCACTTTATTTGGTTAATTTTTTTGATGTAGAATACATGCCCTCACTTTGGTAATTCCCGATATCTAGATCATGAATCTAACTTTTTTTTTTTTGTGGTAATTGCTGCGCAATTTAAGGTTCTAAGGTGAAATTATTAGACAAGGATTCCATCAAACTAATTTGTGAAATCATGTGCATTCCATATGGTGGTCGGTCATTGTTTAATTATAGTGAGCTAGCCTAAGATGAAGAGAGAGAGAGAGACTTTTTGAATAATTGTATAAGAGGGATAGGGATGCATGATAGAAAACTAGTTAGCATGGAGGCTTTGTATGTCAGAATGGTAAACTTTCAGCTGGAACTAGCTTATCAATACTAAGCATTTGGCTTATCTTGGAAAATGACCCATGTTTTATGTCATTTTCTCTCAGTATGGCTTAAGTTGACTACAAACAAAAAACCATATCTAAATTTTCTGGAAATGACAGTGGATGTTGAGGGAAATAAATCATGGATTGAAGGAACATATTTTGATTGCTAAGAATTTTGTAGTGTTAAAAAGTTGACGTGTTGAAGAGCAACCTTGGATGTTGAGATTAAGGCTGTTGAGCTTGGTTGACGGCCTGAACCATTGCCAATAAAAGCTTTCAAAATAATGATTGAAATGATGTGTATTCATTTACAAGTTATTGATTGAATATGCCACAATCATTTGGGTTGTGCTATGTCCGACAACTCTGATTTATTAAATCTTGTTCATTTTATGTTGCCAATGCCAAATGAAGATTAATGGTTTTACTTTGCTGTTCTATAATTTTTTATCTTCAATATGTTTCAGATTCAATTTGTGCTTCTTATTAGCCGACAAGGAAAAGTCCGATTGACTAAATGGTATTCTCCTTATTCACAAAAGGAACGAACTAAGGTATGGTTTTAAATCCATGTCGCTTAGATATTCTCTCTCTAGATCTTAATTATTAATTTTATTTTCAAAGGACCTGCCTTGTGTTGGATAAATGATCGTTATGGTATCATTTTCTCAACTTATTGTAACAGCTGTGGTTACATTGATGATTTGTTTGAACTGCTGCTTTGTCTGAGAAGGTTATTCGTGAGCTCAGTGGAGTCATTCTTTCACGAGGACCCAAGCTCTGTAATTTTGTCGAATGGAGAGGATACAAAGTTGTTTATAAAAGGTATATGCAAATATGACAGTATTTGTGACTTAATGAATGTGTTTCACCATCATAAAGATGATCAACTGAGTTGGTTCCAATGAATATGTTTTGCAGATATGCTAGTCTATACTTCTGCATGTGCATTGATCAGGATGACAATGAATTAGAGGTCCTTGAAATAATTCATCATTATGTTGAGATTCTTGACAGATACTTTGGAAGTGTGAGTGAAGTTGACTTGAGTTGTATTTATAATATATGGAAAGGCATGCTGAAGGAGGTAGTGTGAGGAATAAACAACAAGAATTGGGTTAATTAGGAACAGGTGGTGTCCTCATTGAGAATAAAATAAGAGAAGACTGAGAGGATGTGGGGTCGGCGCCGGCCCTGCTTCTCCGCCGAATTCAAAGTTCGATAACGACCCAACACTTAATAAAACACGACTTAGCATCTTTCAAACCATTTTTAATTCTTAAAAATCCACCAAAAGTCAAAAACCTTTCAGCAAAAAAAAGAGGTTAACAAATACTATAAAATGGTTTGACCCTCAACCCTATTGTCCTATATAAACAAACAACAACCGCTGCAACAACCTCGTCTTCCATCTCTAGTTTCTACTGATTCAGCTCAAACAAAACACAAAACCAAGAGAAAAAATGATTTCTTCAGTGTATTCAGAGTCACGCTTGTGCATGGCCAGCATCGTTTTCTACACTTCTATTATCATCCCGTTACTTCAACTGACGAAGGGTCTTCACAGAATACTGGCTTTTATGTTTTTCAAGAATGCGGACGATGATCAGAGCTCTATAGAGGAGCTTGCGCCCTATCTTTCAGTAAGTAAGTTTGAAGAACTGGAGGAGACGGAGGAGGGAATGTGCTCCATTTGCTTGATAGAGTTCGAGAAGGACGATGCAGTGAGCAGACTATGTAGATGTGGCCACGTCTTCCACATGGATTGCATGGAAAGATGGCTGGATTGCTGTCAATTTACCTGTCCACTCTGCAGAGCCTTCGTCCTCATGAATGTTAAATCTTCCCAGCCAAATAAGTGCCATTTCCATTAGACTCCTGTAAAGTTTTGGTTGTAATTTTTGCAAAGAAATGAAACAGTTTAGTTTAATTGTATATATATGAGTATGATTTTGATACTGTGTTTGCTATATTCTGGCTTTTGATAATGGAAGATAATTGAAGTGCGCGAAGTCAAGCGGCGGGAGCATTAGAATAAGGAATCTAATGGTTCTGGGATTGCGGCTTTGATGACGTCAAATGTTTTAAGAGTTTGACATGTGACATATTTGCCTGCCGCCGCCCACCCACGCCGTTTCTTAATTTCTTATTACTATTATTATTCAAATGAAATCTCAACTTCCACAGCCGTTCCAGTATGACTAAACACAGAGATTTTCACAAAAAGAAAAAAAAAAAAAAAACAGTTAGAATATCTGCAACCGATTATTAGGTGAAATCCATTGAACAGAAGTGTATTTTTTTTTTTTTTTTTTTTTAATAAAAGTTGTAGATTCTGTAGAAAACCATTGAAGAATTGCTGAGATTCCATTCCATTCCGAACCAGCTGAAACAATTGAACAAGGTCGATATAGCGGACTGGCCTGTAATTAACAACCCATAAAGTCATATTGGGCTTAGATTTAAGAGTCTAAATAACGAAATAAAAATAACTATCTGGGCCGGGCCTTTTCTATATTGAGCCCAAACTGTGAATTTATCATCGTCTTCCCGTCGCAGTCTATCATACATACAAAGCAGACTAGCTGTTTAATATAAGAGACGAGAGGAGAGCAAAATTACAGCCATAATTTATTGGTGATCGATGACAATTTCATTCTATCGTCAATATAGTCGGAACACCATGGTATGTGAAACTTGTATTGTCATTGTTTGTTGATTTCATTAGCTTAATGGAGGATTGATCCATCGAATTCCATTTCTTTAGATATACAGCGTTTATTCATTTTTATTAAATAACTTCTTTGGAGTTTTTCATTTATTGAAGTATTACATTAGATTTGGGGGTTTTGGTTCTACTGATGCATTGTTCTTGAACTGATTTTTATATTTAGGTGATATATTGTCACCGTTAGATCTGACTTCATAATCGCATTATTAGATGAATGGTTGAGCTAATGTTTGGGGTTATGATGGATTGGTTGCTCTCTGAACGTGCAAGTTTGCTAATTTCAGTGATATGTATTGTCAAGTTCATTAATTGTATATGTATCAATCTAGCTAAGATCTTGAATTAGAGATCATTGAAGCGTATGGCGTAGAATAACAGTTTTATGAATTTTAATTGGCCTCCAACCGACAAAGCTGTATTAGTTTAGTAATTTATTAGAAAGTTCTGAGACCTGCCCATGTGGGTTATTCATTCTTGAACTACCTTGTTTTTAAACAGTAAGTTAGGAAGACGACTTTTTGAATAATTGTATAAGAAGGATAGGGATGCATTTGATAGAAAACTAGTTAGCATGGAGGCTTTATATGTCAGAATGGTAAACTTTCAGCTGGAACTAGCTTATCAATACTATACATTTGGCTTATCTTGGAAAATGACCCATGTTTTATGTCATTTTCTCACAGTATGGCTTAAGTTGACTACAAACAAAAAACCATATCTAAATTTTCTGGAAATGACAGTGGATGTTGAGGGAAATAAATCATGGATTGAAGGAACATATTTTGATTGCTAAGAATTTTGTAGTGTTATAAAGTTGACATGCGTTGAAGAGCAACCTTGGATGCTGAGATTAAGGCTGTTGATCTTGGTTGAGGGCCTGAACCATTGCCAATAATATCTTTTGAAATAATCATTGAAAAGATGTGTATTCATTTACAAATCATTGATTGGATATGCCACAATCATTTAGGTTGTGCTATGTCTGATAGCTCTGATTTATTAAATCTTGTTCATTTTATGTTGCCAATGCCAAATGAAGATTAATGGTTTTACTTTGCTGATGTTCTATAATTTTTTATCTTCAATATGTTTCAGATTCAATTTGTGTTTCTTATTAGCCGACAAGGAAAATTCCGGTTGACTAAATGGTATTCTCCTTATTCACAAAAGGAACGAACTAAGGTATGGTTTTAAATCCATGTCGCTCAGATATTTTCTCTCTAGATCTTAATTATTAATTTTATTTTCAAAGGACCTGCCTTGTGTTGGATAAATGATTGTTGTGGTATCATTTTCTTAACTTATTGTAATAGTTGTGGTTACATTGATGATTTGTTTGAACTGCTGCTTTGTCTGAGAAGGTTATTCGTGAGCTCAGTGGAGTCATTCTTTCACGAGGACCCAAGCTCTGTAATTTTGTGGAATGGAGAGGATACAAAGTTGTTTATAAAAGGTATATGCAAATATGACAGTATTTGTGAATCAATGAATATGTTTCGCCATCATAGAGATGATCAACTGAGTTGGTTCCAATGAATATGTTTTGCAGATATGCTAGTCTATACTTCTGCATGTGCATTGATCAGGATGACAATGAATTAGAGGTCCTTGAAATAATTCATCATTATGTTGAGATTCTTGACAGATACTTTGGAAGTGTGAGTGAAGTTGACTTTACTTTGTATAAGATCACTAAGTGAATTAAAGTGTATAATTCCATTTGATTGGTATAGAAACTGACGTTTGTGGTAATCTAATTTTGCTTCCAGGTCTGCGAGCTGGACTTGATCTTCAACTTTCACAAGGTATGTTGCAATGGGCTTGTTTTGCAATTGGGATTTTCCTTTCTGAAAGGTTTTTTTTTTTTTTTTTTTTTTTTTTTTTTTTCATATCATAAATGGTGATTGATACAATAAGTGACTGCCCAAAATACCTTATTAATTTAATGCCCTCTTGCTTATCTAGCATAGATCAGTTTATATTGCATGGATGCCAAAATTTGTGTCTTTGCTAATTGTTGACAGTCGTTTACTTTATAGGCCTATTATATTTTGTATGAACTCTTGATTGCCGGTGAACTTCAAGAGTCAAGCAAGAAAACAGTTGCACGTCTAATAGCAGCTCAAGCATAATTTCTTTTTCTCGGTCACAGTGGGTTTTGGTTGTCAGTTTTTCATAATTTTTTTATTTTACAGTGTATCATTTTTTTTTATGTTGTAGGACTCATTGGTGGAGACTGCAAAAGAACATGTCGGTTCAATAAGTAATATAATCACACCGGCCACCAAGTAGGGTAACATAAGGATCTTGCAAGAATTGTATACTTGGTTGCTCATCAGATTTGCGTATTAACAGTGTGATAAATTTGTCTGATGCATCTCTGCAGCTGATCCAAGCCTTTTTGTGTAAAGACACCATACGACTGCAACATTTGCCTGCATTTCTTGCTGTAATTTGCAAAGCAACAGTATGTTTTGTTAGTGAGTTGTTGATTTTGCTATATTATGGATATATATTACATGTTCTTTTTGAATGACTGTCTCTTATATACCAAAAGATACCACTTTGATTAAGAGCAGATTTTGACAGCAATGGTGTTGTAAGTTAATGGCAATGCAGAAGGCAATGTAGAGGGTGAGAATTTGTAAGTTATCAAATTCTCACAATTTGAGGAATGGAAAATTTATGTTTTTATAGGAACTGAAATGCTTGACCTGTTATGCATGGTTCAAGATTAGATTGTGCATTTGTGAGCTGACAAAGAGAATAGCAAATTGTGCTTTATTTATAACACTTTGTTCACTGGTTAGATAGAAGTTTGATATCTACAACTACGCCATAGCAGAATCACAAAATGAAACAAAAGCTGGATATCTACAACTGCGCCATAGTAGAGTCTCAAAAAGAATGGGAGAGATGGGAAGTGTTGAGTTATATTATATGGTTAAATACAGGGCAAAGTCTTAATTCTCCACAGAAATCAAATAAAAACAACCTACATGCTTTACTTTAGGTTTAGGATGACATGACACGATGACAGAACCTCCTCCATCTCACCTTCATTGTCTATATCCCATTTCTGGTCATATGATAAGAGAAAACATGAATCAACAATAAAGGGAGTGTAAAGCAGAGTCAATCTGAAGTCCATGTTTAACATTAGAAATGGTTGCTAATCCAAACCTTTAGAAAAGGTCCAAATCTACAGGATTAACAAGCACTCCATCATCTTCATACTTGACATCTTTGACTTTCAGATCTTTTTCAATTAACTCAGGAGGTGCATCTAGTGGAGGTAGGCTCTGCATAGGCATAGAGAAACATTCGATATTAAATCATTTGCTGTTTGAGAATTCAACATGGTAAAATGCAAGTAGTCCTCTCCTACCATGGTGCGAATCAGAGGCCAATTGATTCCACGGAAGAAAGGATGTTGTTTAATTTCATTGGCACCACTATTTGATCCTAAACGATCTGCGGGATCTCTGTTTAACAACAAATTAAGCAGCTGCCTACCTACAAGACTGACTTGGAATGAAACATCAAGCAAATTAACATCAGTTGCCTACTCATCTCATGGAACCGAAATGTTCTGCCCAAATGGAATACTAATTTTGCAAGTTCAATGAAGAGAAGCCCCATTCATCATCATCAATCACTTCTAAATTCATGTTGACATCTCCGAGCCAGTTAAAACTTATAGCTGGTACACATTTCCATCAAAGGCAGTGAAAATTTAGACCCAATATACTTTGTAGCCATGATGTTCTTAGGAAGGTATCCTCTACCTTTCCAAAAGAAGTTTTTGGTTAATACTCACTTGTTAAATGTTCTCCATTGTTAACTATTCATCAATTTAAGTTCCAGAGATTATCCATATTTTGACCAAACCTCAAGATCCTGAGCATGTATACAATATCCACTGACTCACCAGAATAACAAGAGAATAATTTTAACCGACTTAAAAGGCGGCAGATTTTTACTGGAAAGCTACTTGGGAAATTGAGGTCTTTGTGCAAAATGTTGGCAAATGTCTTCTGTCTATTTATACCTCTGAAAGGTGTATGGTCGTAGAGCATCTCATACAAAAAGATAAATGAATACCAGACATAAAGTGAATTCAAAGCCCAAATATAAGCTAGTAATATTTAAATTCCCACATCTAGAAGGTAAGATGAATCTAAAACTAGCATTTTTGAAACAGATCATTTAAAAGAAATAATGATGAGAATCCAAGCCCATCATGCTCATCACAAATGCTAGGGATTTCAATGAAGACACAAGGACAACATGAAGAACAACATTCGGCCCAAGCAACCCAAACACTCAAGGAAGCTCACAAAATTGTCCAAGAGGTCTTAAGGTTCCAAGGCACGGCTCAAGCCCATTTTGTGACCAAAAACGTGAACAACAAGTGGAAACAAGTTACATTGGCCCAAGCCCAAGTTTTGGGTGTCATTTGATTCAAATTTTGGAGGAAAATCCCTAAAATTGTTATTAAGGACATAAGTCCTTAAATTAGGGAAAGGTTGTCCATGACATTAAATGGTTATGGCTTGCTTTTGGATTGTGTGGTGGAGACTTTTTGTTTATTAATTTTCATGTAATATTTTAATGTTTTCATCATGTAATATTTGCTAGGGTAAATCCCTTAATTTTTGTAAAGCCTATTTAAAGGCCACTTGATCATTTTTGTAAAGGGATTGAATATTGAAGTGAATAGTGCTTTGTCTTGAGAATTGTTTTTCTCTTGTTTCCTTTACCCAAGTTCGGCCAAACTTGGTGGTGGAGTGTCTATCAAGCTGGTGGAGTTTCCTTTAGGCTTGATTGATTCCTTGGTCATCTCTTTTGTAAGTTGTTTTTCTTTAGCCTTAAGTTAACTCATTTTCTGGATTTTGTTTTGCATGGTGTGTATGAATCCGTTTGTGGTGCATTTGAGCATGAGTGCCTTTGTGTTGATTGGAGTTTGATATAAAGGGTTGTTTTAAGTTGTTTTAATGGTTGTGTGTGTGTATGGAGAGTGTTAGCCGAATGGTCTTAAGGAGTTGGAAGAAACCCTAGCCTAGGTGGAGTTAAAATTGGTTGTTTTAGGGTAGTGTATGAATTGTGGTTGTAAGAATTCATATCAAATAACAAGAAGAGGAAACACAAAACGGTCATGATATCATGTATTCAGCTTCAGTGGGTGCTTACCAAGAGCCCTTTGAAACAGATCATTTAAAAGAAATAACAAGAAGGGGAAACACAAAACGATCATGATATCAAGTATTTAGCTTCAGCGGGTGCTTACCAAGAGCCCACCAATCAATAGCACTGTTGTGGCCAGCATCTGTAATAATTTCCTAAAATCGAATAGCAAATATTAAATACATGATAATACAGATTGCAAAAACAAACAAGAGCAGGAAAAGAACAGTTAATATCTATTAGCTAGAATTTCAAAAACCAAATTAGACAAAAAGTTTTCATGCAGCAAATATTATCTAAACCTTCCATTTCAGATGAAGCAAATGGACATTAACAAGCTAACAGAATATCACAAATAGCATGAAATGCATAAGCTCTGGGAAAAATTGAATCTCTTACAGGAGCAATGTACTCTTCAGTTCCCACAAATGAATTTGACACTATAACTGGTTCTACCAAAAATGTTGGCAGTGGTTGACTCCTGGATCTTCTCCTATTAGGTGGTGGATGCTTAATAATCTGCAGAAGTAGTAAAATTTATAGCCTGTAAAGGTAGTCATAGTTCCTATTCTAAGCATTTGATAAGTATCAAAGTAGATAGGAAATTCCGGAGAGATGTAATTGTTTTCAAATTCTGTGTGTAGACATGACAAAAGCACATTCTGTGGTGACAAAAGATTACAAGGAATCCTTTTCATAACCTTGCAACGCCGGAGAAAGAATGACTACTTAAAGATAGTTATTTTTTTACACACTTTAATCTAGGAAACATGAACCTTCCAACCCTGACATGTGCAGGATTTATTTCATAGACTTTGTACACCTATAAGAAACCTCAAAAGCTATAATATAGGTAGTATCCTACAAATCATGCAATTTATATTGGTATAACTAAAAGGATGTGTCCGTCTTGCTATCGAACAACCTTCCTGAAAGGAAAATCATCTTTTTCATGCATACCAGTGACAAGAAAAGAGCAGTTGAACACCCTCCAAGAAACAGTTGATAAATTGAGCTAACTCATATTATCCATGCTCAGGGAACATAACTCAGGAAATAGACAAAGTGCATATCCTAATGAAAATATAAACAATTACAAGAACATGGTAACATACTCAGGGTTTGCAGGACGTCATGAATGATAAATCAAAGTCACTTAATACTATATGCCCATCTTTCTGGAGTAAAATCTTTTCAGGCTTCAAGTCTCGATAAATTATTCCTGCAGGGTCATCACCAACAAAAATAGAAAAAAGCACAAGATTAATGACATGAATTAGTTATAAAAAATTATTGGATTGCAGCCAACTAATTTTCTTTATCTTAAAGCCATTAGAGAACATGTCTCTCACTTCCATCATTAGCTGATATCTCCTACTCAACTTTACAACAAAACTTCTCATGCACAGATTTTTTTCTAAAAGCCATTGGAGAACATCTCTCTCAGTTCCTTTTTACAATGATGCACAATATTTTTGTTCAAATCCAATGAAAATATGGACTCTGACATTTTCCTAATACTTCAAACAAAGATGATTACTGTTCAGTGACGAACTCACATAAATAACTTGATATTTTTCCAAGTTATGATACAGGAAACATAACACAATGAATTTATCTAAACAAAAAGCAAATACAGTTCTCAGTAGCTCAAAATACCTAAACATTGAAGATATTCCAAGCCAATGACAACCTCTGCAGCATAAAACCTGGAGAAGTACTAATTGTTAGATATTTATTAAGATCGTACAACATAACAAGGGCTGGACAATAAGCTCAGACATAAAGAAAAATAAAAGAAAAGGAAAAGGAAAACAATATTAAACAGCCAGTCTCAAACTCCAGCAAACTCTAGCAAGAATAAATGTAAAGTAATTGAATTTTCTCTAGGCCAGTCATCTGAAAGCAACATACTTCAATGATTTGCTTTAAGTTGTATTGAAAGTATATCTTTAGCAGAGTTTCAAGTCGTTCAACAAGAAATAATCAGATACCTTCAGAGGTAACAGATGAAAGTACCTGTTAGATTCCTCTTTAAATAACTTCATAGGCTGCCTGTCAAGTAAAGCAAATAACTCTCCACCAAAGCAAAAGTCTGCTATCAAACATGTGTGTAGGAGTCTGAGGAGATAAAGAGACATCAGTACGTATTACTGCAGTTACTAAGTCATTTTAAGAAACCAAACAAGAAAATTTCTTGATACGACTCTAATGAAATATTTTAAATTGTAGTATTAAGGGTATTGGATTGATGATCAATATAAACATAAAACAGATAACAAGTCTCAGGATCTCTTAATTTCAAAGAGAAAAGGTTGAAAATACCTTCTTTACCTATTTAAGAAATTTTCTTTTCCTATTTTAATTGGGATTTGTTTCCTAGGGTAGATTTCCATTGTCTATTTAGTTTAGGTTTCGGCAACTGCAGATAAGAACTTTATTTTCGGTTGGAATCAAGACTTGCTAATATTTATTATTGTGTAATATAACATTATGTCTCCCTTTTCTTTTTCCTCATTTGACTTTCATCACATGTCTGCATATGTTTTTCCTCTTCTGATGTTTTACGCTGATACTAAAATTTAGGTTGGTTGAACTTTATTATTTTCCAACCCTTTTGTTTTATCTACAACTGAAGCTTAGAGACAAAACCAGGATGGTAAAGCACCTCATAGAATTTGTGCAAACTCATGCCAACTAGAGAAGAAGTTGCATGAATTGCGATTCGCATCCACATTGACAAAATAAGTAAAATAGGAAATTATTCTAGCTAGATTAATATTACACTTTAAAAAGGAAAAAAAAAAAGAAAAAATAACCTATTGCCACATTGCAAGTTCTTATGCACCCCCCACCCTCAGGAAAAGAAGAAAGAAGAAGAAGAAGAAGAAAAGATCTAAAGTTTACATAAACTGATTACTTATTAGAAGCAAGAAAGACCATATTTATAGATAAGTGCTTTTTCCCATGTTTGGTCACTTGAGCAGAGACAACATTAATTTTAAAGTCCGATTTATGATTCTGATTCACCAAAGTTGTAACCAATGGTCATTTTTTGTACTGGAGAAATTGCTTTTTTCAGTGTTATTGGTGTTGTGATGTTTGTTTTTTTTTCGCTGGAATGGGGCTGACATTGATCAGTTTTGTTCATTCCACAAGAGCCATTACTTCAATACAAGATTTGTTTGTTTAAAGGTTGAAGTTTCACCGTGCAACATAATCTGAGTGCCTTTTGCCCCATCAAAGCATCTTGGTGGATTGCCCAAATCAGTGCAGCTCTTCTGCCCAAATTTGTTCGTTTATTCTCTTAGATGGGCAACAAATGAAGTGATATGCTCTTCCTAAAATGATTGTATCATATTATCATACACCTTTAACATTATCAAAGACCCATCATATGTGCACTTATTCATATCAACAAAAAACAAGTGCCTTAGTACATAAAGGAAACGGAAATGAAACATAATTCATAGAGTCAATTCAATTAAACCCTCTCAACACTTGCTTAAAAAAAGGAGAATCTCATACAAATACATGAATAACGTTTAATCTAAATCATGGGGATTATGTAAATATTCCATTCCAAATATAAAGTGAAACAATTAGGTCTTTTTAAGATGGTACTAATTCAATCCATGTACAAAGTGAAAACCTCATTCTCGATTCTGTGAGAATTTTTAGGAAAGCATCCAACAAATCATGAAGAGTTTTAAGTGAACAAACATAATATATGAGATATGGATATTCAATCAAAATAGACAATCAAATGAATACATGTGCGGAATTTTAATCGGTCCGAGCATACCAGATATATTTCTTCATATTCTTCCTCAGATATTTTCTAGACCAAAGACATTTTTTCACATTTTCCACAAGCATGAGATGCAAGGCCATTGCTTTTTCGTTCTCAAACAAGTATTGTTGGTCATAATTGTGTTTACAGAAACATATTAAGGCAAAACCTTATGTTTTTTTTATAAGAAAGAGAAGTTTGTCAATTATTATGCTATTCTAGTTAATATGTAACATGTAACCCCAGGAACAAACCTCACTTCTTAAGGAACATTTCTCTAAACTCATTATTTGACTTCAGCTTCTCATCTTCCACTTCCTCGGATTTTGGATTTGTCAAGGGCACACCAAGTGGTCGGACATTCCTTGGCATTGCAAATGTGTTCCTCCCCTTCAACTGAATGTTATCACTACGTTTATTAGCAGCATAGTGTGGCGCTCTAGACTCCCTGAAAGTCTGATTACTACTTTGCGCTGCCATTTAACCTAAAGGAGTAAGAAAATAAAAAGTAGAAGTGGGAAACACAAACATGCAAAACGTCTATAGACTGCATTGTGCACACACACACACACACACACATAATAACAAAGATAAAACGTAATTCCACTTAGCCTACCATGTTCTCCAGAGGCCCCATGACCAGCACAATCCTTTCTCCTTTGTTTCGGATTTGATCTTGCAATGCTTATCTTCTTCCTAACAAACATTTGTTTGTTCTTTCCTATAGCTGTAGTAAGGTGTGCATCATCGGAAAAATCCACATATGCCAGGCTCTTCAAAAATCGACCAGAGGATATTACAAATTAGTGTGCAACGGATCCAGACATAGGGCAAGCTGGAATATGGGTAAATCTGTATGGGACTATGGTTGAGTCTCCTAAGCATATCACTTGCTATCAAAATGAAAAAATATGCTCTTAGACAGTTAAGACTCTTTATACTTAGAAAATTAAGCAATTTTACCATAATTATGGAATTCAACCCTTCAGCTGGTTTATTTGAGACTGCATAATCGTCTCTAGCAAGGACATTCATCTTAAAACCAAAAGCGTAAGAACTAAATGATTTATTGATAGCATGAAAGGAAAAATCAAGTTGAAGTTTCAGTGAGCACCCTTGAGAAATTTGATCAAAGAGAATGGACTGCATTTAGCAGTTTCCATCTCCCCGAACCATCAACCATGCTGATCTCCCAGTCTAATTAAAATTAGTTTCTTAGGGCTAATTTCTGCGGTACAGTCCACATTATGCATACACATGTTGAAGTTTAAAGTAGGGGTGGAAAAAACCGATTACCGAGAAGCTTGAACCGAACCAGTTTTCGGTTCAAAAAATTAATTGAACCGGTTCGGTTAACCGGTTTTAAACCGGTTAATTAGGATTAATATTGGGCTACATTTGGCCCAATTATGAATTATGGGCTGCATTTTTCAACCCAATTTGGCTTTCTCTTTTTAACTGCTAATCAAGCAAACTAAACGGCCTTGTTCTGCCCATAAACAACAAGAATAGCTGTTTCTTTTCACTAAATATTGTACTAATCAAGTAATTTTTCTATCGTTTAATCTTGTTTTGCAATTCCCTTTTTGTTCTGTTTGCTACACAAATTTGATATTAGCACTGAGAATTTCTATATCTATATATTCTATTGGGAGGTTTTGCATTTGCAGATGAAGAAACGAAAACTTAAAAGCAGAGCAGAAGAGAATGGAACTTGAAGCAGAGAAAGACTGATGGTCCCAATATAGATATTTTCCATGCATAATTTATGTCTGGCCGTGGCAGATGAGATTAGTGGTGTTGTATTTGCTGCACAAAATTTGATTTACAAAATGTGTTGATGCTTCAATGTCAAAACCCAAATCTGAAAACAGACGACGTGACAACACAGATTTGAAAAGCCAGATCTAAAACCCATCGAAAACAGACGATGACGACTACTGCAGCTGAGCGACGGCAATTGCAACTGAGCGACGACCACGTGAGAACACAAATCTGAAAATGAAGAGACAGTGAGAGTCCGATAGAGAGTGAGAGACAGAGAATGAGAATGAGACTGAGCGTGATAGACAGAGACAGAGGCTGAGAGAGAATGTGTGACTTACTGAGGTCTGAGGTGAGTGAGCCGTGAGGTTTGATCTGAGTAAGTGAGTAGTGACTTCAGTAGACTCAGTACCGTGCAGCTACGGCGTGCATCGTGCGGCTGCAACAGTGAGAAGTCTGAGAATGAGTATTATACTGGGTGAGTAGTGAGTAGTGTTAGGGAGTCTTAGCTTGTTAGACTGTTAGTTTTAAAACGTAAAGTCGCAAACCACAATTGACAATACCACATAAATTTTTTTAATATTCGGTTCAGAAAACCGGTTCCTAGTAACCGAAATTTATTTTGCCAAAAACCGAAACCGAACCGGATTTTTGGTTTTTTTAATAATCAAACCAAAACCCAAAAAAACCGGATTTTCGGTCCGATTCGGTTTCCGGGTTTTTTTTTCCACCCCTAGTTTAAAGGTCAGGCAATGTTAAATAAGGATTTGACTGTAAGACTGATGTGCACATGGAAGGTCTAGTGGATAGCTTCCCCTTTTTCATTTGAAGCATAATGCACAAAGAACATTGACAAATAATGAATGAAAGAAACAAAGTCATACCCTTGATTTTCTGGTGAACTTGCCCTGCAGAATTCGAATAGATTCAACCCACCAACATGGCTAAAGAATTTTTTCAGATCTTCAGAAGTTGCCTTAAAAAAAATTTAAAACCATCAAAATTATCTTTGTATTTGCCTATCCAGCGTTAAAAAGAATAAAAAGCAATCTCTCTCTGAAGTGCGAGAGAATCTCTACTTGGCCTGAAGTTAAGGTTTGATAAAAATGCAGTACACTTATTAGTGTATACTTTGGCTCTTCCAGTGGTGGTGTCTTTGATGTGCTGGTCATTTGGATGCTCTTCAAA